GCGCCCGGACATTTTTGTCCGGACATTTTTGTCCCGTAACGCGGGGTTTTCCCTAGTGCGCGGCTTGGGTTGTGTGTTGGTTCCCTGGAGGTGTCGAACTGAAGGGAGTGCGGCCCCGTGGAGTTCGGAGTTTTTCTTGAAAGGTAATGACCCCAGGAGCGGGTGTCGCGCGGCGAAAACCTCGACGAGGGGGTGCCGGCTCTCCAGGAAAGCTCGGAGGTGGGCTTGAAGATGCTTAGGGCTCGACTCAGGGCTTATCTGCTGTTCAGGGATGTGCCTCAAGCCCCTCGATAGTCTTTGCAACGCCCCCTCCCCCGACTTGAAGTGGAGCTAGAGACGTGTGGGGCGTGGAGTCCTCGTCCGGCCGCAGGCGGACTGGCTGGGCCGGGCCAAGTGGCGTCTAGGGAGGCGCTGAGCGCCGCCGGGACCTAACTTCGGCGGCGAGGTGTTGGGGTGGGCAGGTTAGGGTTCCGGATGTGGGGGTGGCCGACCCCGGCACCCTCTGGCCCCTCCTCCAGCGAGCGCCCTGCGGGCCTCCGAGGGTGGCTTTCTCGGCGAGGTGGAAGTTAGGGTTTCAGTTATGCAATATGGACACTTCCCGTTCGCCTGCTCTCTTAGGGCCGTGGTTACCTCTGCCCTCTCTCCTGGAAAGGTGAGAGGTTTAAGGGCGTGTACAAGTCTTTTCAGCCTTCTGAGTTCGCTCCACCAAAGCAGCAGCGAGTATGGAACTTGGAAGGACTGTGGGAGTCAGGATAAAGCGGCCCATGTGCTTAATGCGCCGTCTTAGTACTCTCCACCCCTTTTACCCTTTTGCAGAATGCCTCTGTTCCCACCGCAGCTCACGGAAGTTGGGATATCTAATTCATTTGGGGGCACACTCTCGGGGTCTTCGTTGACCTGATTTGGGTTTAAAGTCTCTTTAAATCAGCCCTTTACTTCGCTTTCTCCTTACAGGAAAAAAGCCTTAGCCTTAGCGTGCAAAGAAATGACATACTTTTTTCTACTCCAACTCCAAGTTGCGGAGGGAGGAGGGCAGTTATTTATTTAAGGTTAGTTTACGCTGTTTCTCCTGTCTTCCTTTTGATTGTGACAGCCACGTGGCCGGCTGAGTTTTATAAGAGACTGCCCTAGCACCACTAGGGCTGAGGCTTCCCTGGTAGTAGTCAGGGGCTTTGTAACCTTCCCGTAGCTTTGCACCCACATTTATTTGGGTGTTTTCTGAGACAGAAGTGGAAAAAGCTGACCTGTGCGTGTCCAAATCTTAAGACTTACCTGTTTCCTTACAGCCTTTGTAACGTATATATTGCCGTTTTTTGATGATTCATCTTTAAGATCTCAGCAGTATTAAGTACCATTAAGGAATGGCGGGGAATAAAATAGTACATTATGGAGTTTCCCAAATCTGGAGGAGAAATCTTTTGACTTTCAAAACCATTAATGAGAGGTTCTAACGTAATCAGAAATAATCATATTCTGGAGGATTTCCTTTTTGTAGTTTTATAAAAAAAAATTTCTTTTTACATAAAAATTGTTATCTGAAAAGATAACTATATTACAAGTGAAATATAGTTCTTTAGTGGTGAAATAAATACTTATTTGATTTTTGCGTGTTCACTTTCTTAAGCTTTTTCTTTTTTTTGGAAAAATGTTAACAGTTAATATGAATGTTAACGTGAACAGACTATTTTAAAGCCATGAAATTTGATTTTTAGAATATATAAATGTAAAACGTCAAAGGGTTGAAGATAAAAAAAATACAAACTTTTGGAGAGTTTGGAAAAATTTAGAATTTAAGTACAGTCCCATATTTCATTTTGTGAATGCTTTGGTGGATTTGAATTATTTCTGTAACATGGTTTTCTTATTTGAATCAGTTTTATTTGAAGAGTGCTAAACCACAGGAAACATTTAGTATGTGTAAAAGAATTGTGTAGAAAAGTTATAGGAGCACCATTTATTAATTACTCCATAACACTGGTTCTTAATCAGTGAAGTTAATAGATAAAAATATTGGCGAGGCTTCAGTGCAGGAAAGGCAATGAATGCAATTGAAAAATGAGTATGCGTGCTGACCATTGAGAGAAAGAAAAGTAAATGAGGTCACGAAATATATAAAGCAGAAAGCACTGAAAACGTATGCTGGAAGGTAACTACAGTATTAGTTATGGGATCCAAATGAAACTTTAAAAAGTGCCATCCAAACAAGATTTAATCTTATTTTTATGGTACTTATTGCTTAGCTACTCCTTCTGTGTCTGTCACTTTTAGATTGTTGTCATAGAAGTAACTGAGTTTTGCATAAATGCAAACAAGTCCTCCAAAAATTAAGTTTGGATGGCCCAATGCTTTACTGATTTCTTAAGAATGAAAAAGAGGTCTAAGATTTGATCCCTATTCTTGAAGAGACTAGCACACATGAAAATAAGAGTTTACAATGTGAGGAAATAGAATAAGGAGAAATTATATGATGCAGGCAGGTGCTGTAAGAGTTAAGAAAACTAGAGGGTTTGAGTAGATAGGGGAGGCTTCTTGAAGAAATAAGGCTCTTGCTTTCTGAAATCTAACCTTCATGTTAACTCCCATTAGATTAATTTTCCTGAAGATTATATCACTCTAATGATCAAAACCCTTTATATCAGGCATGGATACCATATTTCTTCTCAAGACTTCAAATTTTGGTTCTTATCTTCTCCCATCTTATTTTCCACTAACCTGTAAGAACTGTTTATTATTCACTACTTTAATATAGTATAACAATTTTACTTCTTTTAACCTTTACTGATATAACATTTTTCAGTTGAAATGTACCTATACACATTTTAACCTCTTAACTGTGAAGATCTACTCAAGCTTGAGGCTTGGCTGAAATTTTGATTGTCCTAAGAGCCTTAGAATAATAGAATTTTAGACCAGCTTTCATCTCTCCAACCGAAAATTCTTTCCCTTCTCTAATAGCATATAATCCTTTTGGGCATTAACATTCTGCCTTGCTTTCATTTACTAAATGTACCAGGCACTGAGGATCCAGCCTTGAATAAGACAAATTCCCATATTCTTTGTTAGTTATCTTTTTAGGTTTTATCAGCCCAAGAAGATTATAAAGTCTTTGACCACCCAGAGGAGTCTTATCTTCTCAGATATGTTATATGCTTAGTGGCTATTTGATTATTTTCTGAATAAAGGAAAGGCAGAACTTACAGTATGAGGCAGAGAGATGGATAGAAAGGTCTCTCTTTACAAGTAGAGGGTACAAAAGATTAGCCAATTATGGGTGCCCTTGAAGACACCACTTCTAAATTTAAATATGGTTTATTATTTAAAAAAAAAAAACAAAAAACAAAAGATGGCATTTGAGCCTGGAAATGATATGATAAATCTTTGAGGAAAGTTCATTTGACAGCAGTGTGCAAGACTAATTATTAACTGTAGGAATGGAGAGGAATAGGAAAGAGAGATCTATTAAAGAAAAAATAACCTTGAGAAGGAGGTTTAGAAGGGGAGCATCATGAAGAAGATGGTGAGTTTAGTTAGTTGAGTGTAAGGTAAATGGGAGATATCAATGTAAGTTTGACCTTTAGTGACTAGAGATTAGAGGTGTGGGATAATACAGTCAATATAGAGCTGAGAGCTAATGTTATGAATTTTTGTCACAGAGTTCATAATTCAAGTGTTGAGAACTAAGAATGATACTTTGAGAAGCTAAAATTCAAGGGGAATTTGCTTTGGTCAAATGTGACTTCCTAATTAATATTGTAGACTCGAACAATATTAATGTTATTGTTTTATTAATAGTTTATTTTTATTATATGAGAATGCTATCTCTGTCTTACCACCAAATATAAAAGGACCAAAAGAATGTTTATCATCATTCATTTCCAAGGGATTTTGATTCATATATTCCTTATTTTCCTTACCCTAACCTTTTTCGTTTAAACGAACTCTTTATTTTCGAAAGTTTACATTTAAAGAAAAATTGCAAAATAATGCACAGAGTATACTTCATCCAGTTTTTCCTATTTTTAACTTTTTATATTACTGTGTTATATTTGTCACAACGAAGGAAACAATTGCTGCATTACTATTAACTACACCACGTGCTTGATTCAGATTTCACTAATTTTTCCTTAGTGTCCTTTCTCTGTCCCAGAATTCTAGTTTCTTAGACTTTTCTTCTTTTGGGGGAGTACTAGTTTTGGGGAGTACTCGTCAGAAATTTTGGGGAGTACTAGTCAGAAATTTTATAGACTGTCCCTCAACTGAGATTTGTCTGATGTTTTTTTCATGATTAGACTGGGGTCATGGGTTTCAGAGATCATGAATGACAACAAATGAAGTGTCATTCTCATCACATTACATCAAGGATACATACTAACACTATGGTAAAATTGATTATATTAACCTTGAATACCTGTTTGAGGTCTGCCAGGTTTCACACCCAACCCCCGACCTCTTCTGTATTCCACTCTTTGAAAGCAAGTCACTAAGCACAGCCCATGCTATAGGCCTTAACCTAATTTGTATTCATGTATTTTTTATTTCCCTCAACCTAATTTTGTTTTTCATAAATAAACATTTAAACTTGCACAGCTATTTATTAGCATCTACTGTATTTAAGTGCTAAGAATATAGTGGTGAGCAAGAGATTTCATTTCTACTCTTCTGGAGTCTGCCTGATATAAACATAAAGTAGAATTTGTCCTATCACCTATATAGGTCTTGATTTCATTGACAATTATAGTATTACTGTATGGCCTAAAACTCTAAATAAAGCTCGTAAATAGTCACTCAAAGATATGCTATTTTTATAAAGGTTAAGTATATGTACCATAAAAATAACCACCCTTTTGCTACCAACATAATGGAAAATTTTTATTTTCTCTAAGCAAATGTATTAGTGTTAAATTACCAGGACACTTTAATTACCATTAATTATTTTCATATCTTATAAAGGTTGCATACTGCATAAGAAAATTCTTAGCTTCTTGATTGTATTTTCATAGATATTTGGTGCTTTTGCCACTTAGAAGATTTTTTTTTTCTGAGAAGGCGTTTGCAAGGTTTGTTGGGGAAAATACATCGAAAAAGAAGAGAGACTCTGAGCTCTCTTTATGAGAGGGTGTGATTATTTATTTATGTATAAAAAAATGAGGAAAATAAAGAACATTAATCAAAGTTTTGAAAGTGCTAAAAAGAATTTTGGAGGGAAGTCAGATAATTAATAAAACAGTAGAAAAGTAATGTCATTCTAACATTGGAAATGTTATTGGAAATATTAATAAAACAATACCGATTTTATTGGAAAATAAAATCTGATTAACTAGACTTGTTGAGTGAGGACTTCAGTTTTTTTCTAGTTAACTGGATTAACTGCAATATACTCTTTGAACTCTTTCAAATGAACTCATTCTTTCAAAAATGTATTTATACATTTGCAGCATTCATACTATATCACACAGCCCAATGAGTATAATTTAATATTTAAATTAGAATTTTGAAAGTTAATATAATTTTGAGTTATGTTTATAACTTTGGAGGTAGAGAATTGAGGAAATTGATAAACAAATCCTTGTGGTTTGTTTCTTTATCTTAGAAGAGGATACACAGAAAAAAAGGGAAGAGATTTCTTATAAATTAAGATTTTACTGTCCTTTTTGTTTGCCCCGTACCTTTGTCCAGCTCCTCCATCCTTAAAAGTTCAATTTAAATGCTACCTCCTCTATGCTAACTGAACAGTATTTATTGATAATCATAGCAACAATTGCTACTTTTATTGAGTGCCTACTATGTTCTGACATGATATTATGCTAAACATATGAGCATATAATTCATTCCCCATAACGACCCTACAGGAAGTGTTTTATTCTTATAGCTAAAGAAACATAATGAGATGTTATGTAAATGCATTGTTGGGTATTTGAACCCAAGTCTGTCAATTCATATTTTTGTACTGTAACCTAAAGTCTTTGAAAATGGATTTTGCCAGGATGAGTTGCTTACATCTTGATCCGTCCCCCAGAAGGAGTAAGGAAGAATACAGGCTAAGATGAGGAAACTGATATTTCTAGAACCCCATTCTGTGGCAGGGATGCTAATACTTTATTGTTATAGTGAGTTAAGTAAGTGGTGTTATTCCTTGGGTCTCAAGGTGAGGAGGAATTTTCACTCAAAAGGCTAACCTTATAATGAGCTCTTTGTTCTGCTTCTGCAGATATGCTTGCTGCATAGGCCACAGGGCAGGGTGACCTTGAAATTAACCAAAGACTCATCCTCCCTTTTGCTTGTTCTGTCTAAATAACAAATGTAACTACGTGTAACCCCTAGCAGCTCTCTGGCTCTATAACTACCTAAGGACAAATTAACCAGTCGGCCCTTGCCAACTAGCCAACTGTAACTGTGTGGACAAGCAAGCATAAAAGCAAGGTTTCCCCTCAGCTCGGGGCCCAGATCTTCAGAGCGCTAGCTGTTTTGGGACCGTTGGTATAATAAACCTGAGTTCTCCAACTCTCCGAATGGTGCTTGGTTTCTTGCCGGTCCGATTTTTGCAACATTTCTGGAAGCCCCAGTGAGATTCCAACCATACTGGCCCTTTGAGCCGTTGGACCGGTGGCTTGGCCGGGCCGGGCCAGAGGGGCTCCAAGACGAATGAGGAGGTGCACCACCTAACGGTTTTCTGGGTTCTCTTTTGGACTGGCGCTCTGACTCTCCAGATGGCCAAGCCCCGACTGGACTCAAAGGAGAGACAGACCAACTCACCAGGAACGGCCACAGGATAAGGTAAAGCCCAGGGGCTCAGCACTCCAGTCAGTTTCTGTTCCGGATGGAAAAGGAGCTTGATCACCTCTTAAAGTCTTCAGTTAGAAGACACAGGTACGGGTATTCCCAGCAGGGAAAGACATCAGGGTCTTTCTAGTGGGAGAAGACAAAGGTCAGGGCCTTCCAAAAAGGGGTGAGGCAATGTTTTAACCTATGGTAGGTGAATGTGTGAGTGAATGAGTGGCCTAGCTGGTTTAACTTGGTCAGGTATGAATTTGTGGCTTCACGGCAGGGCACCCATAAGGCACCCTAAAGGCTATGGAGTCTGAGTGGGCTCGTCTGCGATTCTTTGGTGCACGGAATACGGTCCAGGGCTGCATTGGACTAGTGTCTGATTGTAAGTCACAAAGCTGAGTATGCTAAGGCCAGACATCACCAAAGACCCTTGAAGACACGGCAAGACAAGCCACTTGAGTGGTCTCCTTTTTAAAGGAGGCACTCACTTCTGTTTTTCTTTGTGTCACTGACACAGGGTGATATACATGGAGGCAGAGCGGGCAATTAATTACTGATTTGGCTTAAGAATTATCTATCTCCAAACAGCCCTTTTGACATAGTGGCCCTTATCGAATTATTTTCTTGAAATCTTAAGGTCTATTTTCCCCCTCTATTAGAAAGCTCCCTGAGGCAATATGGGTGGAGGTTCCTCTAAGCCAACTGTCTTAAATGTATATTGAAAAAATTTAAGAAAGGTTTTCCAGGGGATTATGGGGTTAAGTTGACCCCAGGAAAACTCTTTGTGAGCTTAAGCGGCCCATCTTCAGGGGTAGGATGGCCTTCAGAAGGGACCCTGGACCTCCCTACTGTTAAAGCTGTGTACCGGGTAGTGACAGGGACCCCTGGAAATCCAGACCAGTTTCCATACATAGACTCATGGTTGCAGATCGCTTCTGTAGTGCCCCTTGGGCCAGTACAAATAGGCAGGGACAGAGTTAGGTACTTGTGGTCCTACTGACTCAGGGAAAGGACAAGGAAGAGCCAGCAAAAGTCACCTACCAGTGGGACCCTGAGGAAGAACCTTTCTTCTCACCGCCATACATCCCAACAGCTCTCCAGTCCCTGCACAGCCACTCTACCCCCAATTACTGGACAGCCCTCCTCCACTGGTGCCTTCGCCACCCCAACAGCCGGAGCAGCCACCAAGCCCAAGTCCATGGCAACTTTGCTCAGCCGTGCAGCCAGCCCAACAGCCTGCGACCATCCAGAAGCCTCTCTGAGAGACGCGAGGCCCTTTTGAGGTTAGAGAAAACAGCACATTCCAGCCAAGCAACCCTGCCCTCTACTATCAGCCTTTCAGCACAACTGACCTCCTCAACTGGAAACAGCACACCCCATCCTATTCGGAGAAACCCCAGGCAATGATTGATTTGCTCGAGTCCACTTTCCAGACTCAGCAGCCTACCTGGGATAACTATCGCCAACTCCTCCTAACTTTCTTCAACACCAAAGAATGACGCCAGATTTGGCCGGATCTGGATACCAGGTATCTCTGAAATTGCCAAGCCACTGTACATGGCCACAGCTGGGTCCAGTAAAGACCCCCTGGAATGGGGCTCCAAACAAGAAAAAGCTTTCAGAGAAATAAAGAGACTTGACCAATGCTCCAGCATTAGGACTACCGGATGTGACACGGGACTTTAACTTCTTTGTATATGTGAAGAATCATACTGCACTGGGGGTCCTCACATGGGCCATGGCAGCACCCAATTGCATATCTGTCCAAATGGTTAGATCTGGTGGCCGTGGGTTGGCCACTGTGCCTCTGGGCCTTAGCTGCCATGGTAGTCCTGGTCAGAGAAGTTGACAAGCTCATGCTGGGACAGAATGTAAATGTAAAGGTCCTCCATGCTGTTACTGCATTAATGCATAACCAGGGACTTAAGTGGCTGACCAGTGCCAAGATAACTCATTTTCACGGACTGCTTTGTGAAAATCCATGTGTCCACCTCGAGACTGTGCGGACGTTGAACCCTGCTACTTTTCTGCCCACTGAGGAGGGACCTCCGACCATGATTGTGAAGAGGTCGTGGATGAAGTCTACTCAAGCAGACTAACAGATGTTCCTCTTCAGAATCTAGAACTGATGGGAGCAGCTTCATCCATGAAGGACAGTGCAAAGCTGGCTACGCTATAATAACCACAGATGCGGTGATCAGAGCTGAGGGCACTCATTCAGGTGCTACGGCAGGCTGAAGGGAAACGGGCCAACATCTATACCGACTCAAGGTACACCTTTGCTACTTTGCATGTACATGGAGCCATTTATAAAAAGGGGACTACTGACTGGGAGGAAAAGAAATCAAGAACAAAGAATAAATCTTTCAACTGTTAGAGGCAGTCTGGAAGCCTTCTCAGGTGGCAGTCATTCACTGCAAGGGCCACCAGAGAGGAACTGACCGGCAGACCAAGCAGCTAGGGAGGCTGTCAGCCAACCAAGTGCCACAATGGGTCCTGGGCCCATCTCTAAGGTTTTCCTAGCTCCAGAATTGCCTCTATCCCCGACATACACCAAGGAAGAGGAACAGTAGGCCTTAAGTGAAGGGGGAACCAAGAGAAAGGAGGGCTTGTGGGAGCTTCCAAATCAATGACTCTTTATTCACACTGCGGTGGCAGCTCAGCTGGTAACACAACACCATGAGTTGACTCACCTAGGGAAGAGTACTTTAGAAAGCCTGTTAGGCCACTAGTGTTTCACACCCAAGCTCTCAACCTTGTGCACCCAGATCAGAGCTAGATGTGTAACTTGCGTATGAAACAATGCCGGCCAAAGGCCAAAATTCAATCCAGGGTTGCAAACAATTGGGACTATGCCCTAGAAGACCTAGAAGTGAACTTTACCCCTGCCTGGGCCACCAGTACTTGCTTGTGTTAGTTTGCACCTACTCCAGATGGGCTGAAGCTTTCCCCACATGCACTGAATAGGCATGAGAAGTAGCTAGAGCTTTGTTGAGAGAAATTGTTCCAAGATATGGACGGCCCCTCTATAGGATCTGACAATGGACCTGCCTTTGTGTCTGAGATAATCTAGATTCTGTCCAAAGTTCTGGAAATCAAATGGAAGCTCCACATGGCCTACAGGCCACAAAGTTCAGGGAAAGTTGAGCTCATAAACCAGATCCTCAAGACTACTCTAGCTAAGCTTAGTCAGGAAACCCAGTTACCTTGGATTGACTTGCTGCCTTTGGCTCTACTCCGAGCACAGTGCACCGCAAGACCTTCAGTCTATTCCAGGAAATGAAGTATGAGTTAAGGATTGGAAGAAGGAGCTACTCCAGCCAATCTGGACAGGCTCTCACACTATTATAGCTGTTAAGGTTGTAGGTATCACCACCAAACTGGAGTAAAGAGAGCGACACCTCCGGAAGAATGGGAGACATGAACTGCAGAGTCTCTTCCTGGTCAGCCGATCCGAGTCCCGTTCCAGGGGCAACAGAGATCCACCTGTGACCTTCGGCCCTGCTCTAGCCACCTATGGAAGCAGGCCAGTCTACACATAGCAGTAGCTTGAGAACCAACTGTCCGAACTGTCCAGATGTATTGTTATCATCCTTTAGCCCTAACCCTCTTTAGTACACTTGTCCTGCTGCTTGCTTCAGGGTTGGCCTCAGTAGCACCCTCCGATTGGATCCTGAGTCAAAGAGTCACTTTAGCCCTGACCTATTTAGCCTACGTTGGGATCCTCTCAATTCTTGTATGTTCAGGCTAAACCCCTCTTCAATACGTTTCTAGAGGCTTTGTCTAACTGCCATTGGTTATAATCATGAGGAAGATCCTTTCTTTGTTAATTCTAGTAGGATTTTATACTCAGGTAATGGTGTATCTTAACTCACCCTACAAGGGAATTATGGATACCAAGTACTTACATAAGACTCTTAATTTAGCTTATCATCTCTTAAACTCTTCCAACAGTGAGTTGGCTAAAGATTGTTGGTTCTGCCTATCTCCATCTTCTTCTGCCTGCTACTCAGCTGTCCCCATCCCCATCTGGTATTGGGCAACAAGTATTGGGGAGGCCACCTGTTTGAACTGATGAATATAGAAAATTTATTTGATTTCCAAATTACTGACATGACTAAAGGTCTACTGACAGGACAGGCAGTTAACTTCTGAATGCCCTATAGAACCAACTTAACTCGGGCAGCCTCTCCTGAGCCTCCAATTTGGGGACCAATATCAACACATACAAATTCTAAGTTTCAGGCACCCCTTTGTATCAAGAGAAGTCAAGACCTGAGCCAGAGCCAAAATTTAGGCTCCCTTGAAGATTCTCGTTGCAATTATACTATAGAAATACAACCTTCAAAGGACTGGTCTGGTTTCCAAGTAACACAGGCTGCTCCATTTAAGAAACCTGTACGATTCTCATGGAAACCCAACATAAAGACTACAAGGTTACTAAACAAAAATTCAGATTACTGTCAAGGGAAGCCAAATGATAGTTTAAACATTTTTCCTTGGGAATCCTGCTCTGAACCCTCCCAAGAAGAATGCCTACTCTTACCAGCATATGAAAACCTCACTGAATGGACCCTCTGGAGCATCTCAAGATAATTCCTGTGGACCCCTCCAAACCCTCACAGGGGCAGTTCTAGCAGGGACACTTTTGACCTGGGAATCTGAAAACAGCATAAGGCCGAATGATCACCTTTTTACCATTGAGATGAGTTTTTGCCTTGGAACCCCAGGTATGTTCTTTCTTTGTGGAACCAATTCATATCTCTGTCTCCTAGCTAACTGGACAGGAACCTGTACCTTGGTTTACTTGGCCCCTGACATAAACATCGCTCCCAACAACCAGTCTATGACTGTCCCTCTAATACACACAAGAACCAAACGAGCAATTCATTCCCCTTCTTATAGGCCTTGGCATCGCCGCAGGGGTAGGCACTGGCACAGCTGGCCTAGCCTCCTGCCTGTCTTATTATCAAAGCTTATCTAAGGACCTATTTGACACTTAGAAG